TATATATATATATACACTTGGCACCTCAAACCTGGATGACTGAGAACCCATAGAAACATCTGATAGTGACAGTGTTGGTTTGTGTCTAAATTAAAGTGGATCGATATGTTTGTTAGCTTTACTTGGAGCATGTCGCGTTGCTCTCATTCCATAAAATACACGCTCCACCAGACCAGTGGACTACAGGGAGGTTAAATGTAAACCATGAACTAAACAAGCAGATAATTGTTTAATCAGTTCTGATTGAACATCAACTTCAGAATCGACAAGCTTAGAAGTAGCATTAACCATAGCGTCCTGTTGTTTACTCCTGTAAACAGCGAGCAGAATATATCACGTCATCTTCTCTGCATGCATGTTACATTGAGAACATAAAGTATTCACACTGGAGTTTAATGGAAATTGCATTAAAAATGTGAACATACACACAAAAAAGACAAAAAAGGCATTGGTTCCGTGTATCAGGGCATTTTGAATGAGTAAGAGTGCTTGTAAAATACTGATACCGGATCTGATACCGGTATCAGTGCATCCCTAGCCTTAAGTAGTCTAGTCTAGGCATGGGACAGTGTGAAATTATGATGGTATGATAATCTTGGGCAAAAATATCACGGTTTCATGGTATTATGATTACAAATACCACGGTTTTATGGTATTATGATTACAAATACCACGGTTTTATGGTATTATGATTACAGCTCTAAAAATTTAGTTTTAAAATTGATATTTAAAAACAAAAAAATTATAAAATAATTATTATCATATTCAACTTTATGCTTGGAAGGTGTTTTTAGATCAGAGAGATGTTATGCCGAAATTATTTTACCTGTTTGCATTTATACTTGTGATTTTTAGCGCCTAATGCTATTAGATTATTTTAATAAAGTTTACATCTAATAAGATAACAGCTTTTTAATGCTTTATTAGTTAAGACAAATCAGTGTATACTGCACGACAAGTCTTTTTATTAAAGTACTTTCTCACGTTGGGAGTTTTTATTGTGTTTTAAATTTCAAAAGAGGTTTTGACGTAAAGATTATATAATTATATGCACAAAAACTACAGAAATCCCAACTATGAACGCGTGCTTATGAAATACAGCTAAAGAGCTGCTCAGCTAAAGCTGCTGAGTCATTCAGTTTTATCACCTTGCTCTTAAAACTTATCAAATACACAATCCATCAAGTCCAAAACAATTTTGCAGACAAGTTGTGATCAGTGCATTAAGGCACAGCAACAGGTGAAATGTTTCATGTGTGATGTTAAAGTTAGCTTGCTCCTTTCAAGACAGCATAAACCTTACGTGGAGCTGCGATCATGTTAGATGTGTTGCCTTCACTGTCCACAAGATGTTGCCCTCCATGTTTCTGGCATCCTAAGTATTTTCATATACAGTATCTGCCTATTTTATTTTAGTCAGGGAAAAAGTTTGGAGAACTCTTCCTGCAGCCATCACACAACCCCCGCAGGGGTGCATGGGGGAGGGGTCGTGAGGGGAAAGTCTGCAGCTGCACAAACCAGAGGAAAAATAATCAAAAAACATTTATACAGTAATATGACAGAGTATTAGGGCCACACAACGAGATTTTTAATTTTTTTAAATTTCGATAATAAAGTCAAAATATTACGACATTAAAGTCAAATGAAAATAAATTCATAACATCACGAGAATAAAGTCATAATATCACGAGAAAAAAAAGTCATAATCTTACATGACGTGTTCGTTTTCCATTCCTCATTTCCTCCTTATTGTCCCCACACCTGCTGTGTACATTTGATGCTAATGTGCTAAAAGATTAACTATTTATTTTAAGTAATACTAAAGATTAACTTGACAAGTGGCTCAACATTCCTCATTTTAATGCAGTGGTAACTGTGTACTTTTTCGTGTAAAGGCTAGAACAGTGGTTCCCAAACTTTTCAGCTTTTGACCCACAAAAAAACAGTAGCAGAGACCTGTGCCCCCAGCTATTTTTGGATGATAAACATTTGTATGAGGTCAACAAAACATGGGCATAGTAACAATATTTTTTATACTACATTCATCCATTTAAATACACTAACCTTACTCCTTTGTAACAACTAAGGCAAAAATGTGATTAATTCAGAAAATCTTTTCAGGACCCCACCTTGATGTTTCGGGACCCCACTTTGGGTCCCGAGCCCAACTTTGGGAAACACTGGGCTAAAGTGTTATGACTTTAATCTCGTAATATTATGACTTTTATCTTGTAATATTATGACTTTACTCTCGTAATAAATTTAAAAAAAAAATCTTGTCGTGTGGCCCTAAACAGGAACAGTATGACAGAAAATTTTAGTGGTTTTGAAATTGTGACATTTTCATATCACAGTATATCGTGAAACCGGTATCTGAGCCAAGCCTAGTCTAGTCTAATTTATGAATAACTGACTAACTACATTTATGGCCCAAACAGAAATGGGTCACATCAGTATCAGTGAGGTTTGGTTAAAACTATCAATATCCTATTAACTAGACAGGAACTAGAAGTTGGAGCTGCCATGGATGAGTGTCCTCTTCTGTCCTGGTTGGTCATCCATGTTTAACCCCTTCATAAAATAAATGGGGCATTTGCTTCATTAAAAGATAAAAACAAAAAAACATTCCTTTTTTCTCCAATTGTTTTTAACTGGTTCACTTAAAGCTTACGTTACTGCTCAAAGTTTAGATGTGCACAGTCTGTTGAAAAAAATGTTTAAATTAAATTAGTTCTTATTAGACAGTTGAAGAAAAGTGTTATGTTACATTATTGACAGCCTGTTAGAGAGCTGGTAGTTTGTGGTGTAAGAGGAACT